TAATATTACAGGAAACAATGCCACTGCTGGTATTTTTGCTACTTATCCGCAGGAGTTCATGAGTATTGGAGGTGCTTTCTTCTCCGAAGCCATCGGAACATTCTTCCTGCTTATAATCATTTTGGCTGCTACCGATGAACGTAATAAACCAAATACTAGAGTACTTTTTCCATTAATTATCGGTTTGTCTCTTACCACGATCGCAATCTCTTTTGGATATGAAACCGGCTTTGGTTTAAACGGAGCACGTGATTTTGGCCCAAGATTATTCACTTTCTTTGCTGGATATGGCGTTGAAGTTTTCACTGCATATAACTTCTATTTCTGGATCCCACTTGTTGCACCTGTTGTAGGAGGTTTGACTGCTGGGCTTGTTTATGATATATTAATTTATTGGGGGAAATCTCCTTTGAATTCTTTAATTGGGTCATCCGTAGATTCTTGATTTGGGTATTTTTTTGTATTTGTGTATATTTTTTTCGGTTTGTCAGATATGTGCTAATCAAGGCATAAAGCAGCATAACAAATTTTTATTATTGTAAGTAGTCATATATACATTCACAAGGCGTGTCTTCGAGTGTAATTACTTAAATGAGTTGATGTATTCAATTTTATATGCAAAATTTGTAATACATATATATACAAGTTAGGTGCTAGAAAGAGACTAAATTGACAATTCAATAAAAATTTTTTTTGTTACTAAAAGGCTATACTACCCATCCCCACCTGATTCAAATATTGATAATTATAATACAGGTCGAATAAAACCCTCTTGGGAATTATATATCCGGATAAAACGGTGGTTTTTTAAAATACTATTAATTTCCCACGACGACGGGAATAAGAGGTAAATCCTCGGTCATCCGGGGACCCTTCGGGCCCCAGCGGGTTTTTCGACATAGTGATTACGAGTCGTAAAGCCCGTCATGCCATCATATAAAAATAAAGAATAAACCGGTAGATCTCCGTCCCCAGTGTCTAGCAATTCATGTTATTTCCCCAGCAACCCCCTTCCGAGGAAATAACATTGTTAAAAACTCGGGGGTTTTTTTTTACTGATTAGTGATTATAAGTTGTAAAACCCCGTCATGCGATCATGTAGAAATGTGGAATAATTTTAAATCAGGTACGTACGTGCATATCGGGAGTAGATTAGTGGGTCCACCAAAATTCAGCAAACGACCTGCAGATCGCCGCCGACCCATCATCGGGATTTACTTA